TTTAATGTAGTACTTGAAGCCAATTGTGAATAAACATCAACCATGTACGCTGAATAAAAAGTTTGACACTAAAAAAAAAAAAAAAAACTTTCTTTTAAAGGAAAAGACTGGTTTTCCTAGAATTGGGCATGGTCATAATGGTGAGGGAGTCCTCTTCCTGCCAAAATGACTGATAATGTCCAAAAGGATCGTGTAAAATCACATTAGTGTAAAAATGAAGCTTTCCAGAATTCCTGAAGCCAGAGAAACCTGGAATGAACTTGAGCCCTCCCTCCTACTTTGTATCCCTCCCTACACATTGCCTCTGCTTTTAGTGTTCGAAGAGATTTTATTACTTCATGGACATACTTTTGTATTACATAATTCTATTTTTCCCCAGATTGAGAGAAATTAAAAGGAAAATGCTGTAGAAAGATGATGTTGAAAGAAATAAATGTAGTCTTTCCTTTAACTTTGAATTTATTCTAAAGAAAAAAAAAACATGAACTTTTTACATTCCTATTCCATTTATGTAAGGCACCAAATTTTGTGTTGTGAAAATAATAACTGAGTTACAGAAAATATAGCAAAATGTGTCCCAGAACTGTGTCCAGTCTCACTGATACTAAAGATTAGGGAGAATAAAAAAGAAAAACTGAAAAGGAAGGGTGGTCCCTTGTTTCTATTTTTCTCTTACTTAAAACTGATTAAAATTCTATGCATTGTAAAATGAGACAAACAGGATTTATCATAGTCTCATGCTATCATATTGCTCCCCTGAAGCAAAAGAAAATATCTGGAGTTGTACCTAAATATTCAATTGCTGGAAGACTTTAGAAAACCAGTTTTGTACGTTTCAGACTTTCAAAGGAAAACAGAACTTGGGAGTTTTCAAGGCTGTTTTAAAACAATTGGCATGTTCCCAACTCTGGCTATCAATGCAAATCTGAGGCAGGAAGTACTAAGGAAATTCTAAACCCATTCCCTCCCTCTGCATGATTTTGTACATTTCCATGTGTAAGGAGTGTGTTGCGTGGTCGTTTTGTTTTGCTTTTGGAGGCTGGGCACACTCACATCTTGAAGTACATCCTCTGCCCCCATAGTAGCCCCTCTTTCTTTGCCTGCTCGTCACTCCTTGTGTTTTCAAGTGTTTGCTCTTTGGAAGGCACAATCCGGTTTGGACTACAGCTAGACTTTTACAGACAGGCGGGAATCCAGGCTGCAGATGGCGAAACTTCCGTCTGAAATCAGTGTGCAGTTGATGGATTGCTCCTTCCACCTGACCCCTTCTTCACACAAGACTCTGAACATAATCTGAATACCACCAGCCAGAAAAACTATGTGAGGGTCCCCAAATCTGAATCTCTTCCTTCAAGACCTTCTGGGGAACCAGATGGCCAAAGAAGGGAATGCAGCACTGATGTAAGAGCAGAATGATTAGGAACTCTGCACTGGATTGGTGGGACATGGTGAGCTGGTAAGAATGTGGAAGAGGAAGAAAGGAAGAACTTGCCTGGTGTATGTACTTGGGTGACTTACGAAGTTTTGTGAAACTGACTAAAGTTTTCCAAATATCACATATGAAAGAAATATCTATTTCTTAACAGCAAAATATCAGTTCACCAGGTTGTAATGACTGTATTCTTAAAATATTATCATGTCTCATGTTAAATATCATAATCTGTCACTGAGAATTCCTCATTATTTCTTAATCAAAAGCCATGTTCCTTCTTGAAATTCCTTTTTTGGGGGGAGAGGTGAGGAGGAAAAATACTAGTTAAAAGGAAAATCAACAAAATCTTTTCAGAGATGAGGTATGGAAAAGTAAGCACGTATAGCAATGTGACTACAAATTATAGCTACAAGTCAACTGCCGGGTTTTTGTGTTATTTAATTTACTTGAAGATTTTTCTAACATAAAACATTGTAAGCATTGGAAAATCACCCAAAGGGACAGAACATAAATCATATATCTATTCTTCTAAGCAAATATGTATCTATTCTTCTAAGCAAAGTCAAGAGATCATTTTTAATGTAATGGGAAATGAGAGCAGAGAGGACAGGGAAGTGTCACATTTCCTAAAACTTTCATACACACACAAACACACACACACACATACACACACATATATACACAAAGGAATGGAAACATTTTTCCTTTTTTTAAAAAATGCCATTTTCATTCTATTTTAACCATAAGAAAAAAGCAACTGTATCTAAAGTTACAATATTTAAACAGAAAGAGAAAGTTTAGTTATTTGCATTTTCTGAATAATTATAACAATAGACACTTTCGTTCCTTAAAATAAAGATTCCCATTGTACTTACCAAACAACAACAACAACAAAAACCAAACCAAACCAAAACAAAAAAAACAAGAAACACCCCAAAGGTCAGCAAATATTTCTCATGGATTGGGAGGAAAAGAACACCTGAATTTAGACAACACTTTAAGGTGTGGTATCACCAAATATGATTTTTTATCAACTACAGAATTCTACTTCTATCAACCACGAGTATGCTTTATATGTTAGCATCATTTTAAATAGCCATGATTTTACAATTTGAATTGTAATCACAAACCAAGGTTAGAACAGTAGATTTTATGGATTATATCCAGACTTACCCAATAAATATAAGCAACATGTATTTTCTTTAAAAATATTATATTTAGAGAGATAAATGTTGAAGGAGCAAAAAGTGTTAAGAAAATAACCCAGTTGTTTTCCTCTTCCACTGGGCAAGAGAATGCTTTATTGTATAGGATTAACACTGTCAGAAAGTCCCCATATGTTAAAATACAATTGCACACTGCCACTTCCTTCCAGCCTTTCTGAATCCAAGATTCAAAATAGAGCAAGTTTCACATCTTCAGCTTTCAGGAACGTTAATAATGTTTGTCATTCCAGAGGCACCGTTAACCATATTCAACAACTTCACAGCACTGTGGAAATTTTACAACACAATAATCAATATGAACTAGGCTGATAGCCACCAAAGTAGCTGATCTTATAGTCCCTACCACCCCAACCTGAATACCTGAATATCAGCTTATGATGCCTAATGGATCTAACTTCTTTAAAAATGTTCCAGAAGTTGATGCCTTTGGTTAGCTTGAAAGTAACAAGATCCAGATGCTGCCTGTCTACATAACACTAAACTACGTAGGACCCCAAAACAATTTTTAAAAACTCCCTCTGTAGTTTCCAGGCTCTCTTCTTTTCCCCCACCATTTCCTTCTCCTCCTTTGGCTACAACACAAATACACACACTCACCAAACACATACACATACACACACACACACACACACACACACACACTATACCAGTGTAGCTCATCCAACACCCTGTATCTTTGATAAAATATGTACATCATTCATTATTTTCTACTAATAATAGGTTAAATCTCATGCAGAAAAACAATCATTTCATTCATTTCAATCTAAAGTTTCTCTTCTGGATAAACACAATCACAGAAAAGAAGGACCCAAACAAAGCACGATTTTTTGAAACATTTGGAAAAATTTAGCCAAGTGTGAGTAAAAGGGATGGAATGTTCAATATTTTTCAGGCAACGCTTGAGCTTATTGTTTTTGTTTCTTTGGGGGATGAAAAATGACTGTGAATTTCCCCCTTTTTAACTCGTCCTTGCTTTGCCATCTCCTTGAGGAATGGCAGGCGGCATTCTCTACTCAATCCCCCAAGGAGTTAAAACTCAAGGCACTGAGCAGGAGGGCTGGTCTATTGAAGCAGCAACAGCACAAACTAAATGCTCACAAAGGCAAAAAGCAATGCCAGTCGACCTTGGAGGGGCAAGGAGAATCACAGAGCAAGTGGGGGAAAAAAAAAGAAAGAAAGAAAGAGAACAAGCAATGATCCTTAATACAATACTGAAAGTCTGCTGCCTGGTCTGCTTTACAAATGGGCATTGTTGGACGAGAAAGAAGAAATGAGAGATAACTACAGCATGAATTACCAAAGCCTAACCACAGCAGCGAGTACTGCTGGCTGCCCACACCACGCAGGCACGCCTTCTTCACTGGGCATATTTGTTTATTAAGAAGATGGTAGGGTCTGGCGAATGCAGCTCCAAATAATATCATCCATGCACTTAAGGTGGTGACTCCAGAAACAACCCCCGCCACCAATTGAATTGACAAATTGGAGCAGTGATTTCACACCTGAGAGTCTGTCATGTCTTAACTGCAGGATAAAGTTCAGGGTTGGCACTGCCCACTGCTTAGTTACGTGGGCCCCTAATGATCATTTAAGCACACGCTCACTCACAAAGCCTAAAGTATTTAACCAATTCAAGTCCAATTATTATCAGTTACATTCCATGCCTTTGCAAGAACCCAGGCCTCCTGACGGCGACTCACACAGAAAAACAGAGCGTCCCAAAGTGAAGACCATCATTGGAAAGCTAATTCAGCCTCTGGCATCCTAGTCACCCTCAATATAAAATAAAGTACGCAAGGCAACTAAAACATATAAAGACACCCAACAAACTCAAAGAGACTTTGGTAGGTACCCCCTTGCCTTCCCACATCCTCCTTTCATTCCATACTTAGCGATTAAAAGTTTGAGTCACCCCCATCCTGGTGTGTCCTCTCCAGGGGGAAAAACCCTTAGAGAGCCACAAACAAAGAACAGCTCACCAAAAAAGTCCCTGAAATTATATTCTTGTGCCTGATAATCACGGTTGTGATCTCCTTTCTAAAATCCCTGTCCATCTGCAAAGGACTTCCACAGATATAGGGAACATTAATGCTTCCAAATAACAAAGGAACTCGAGTCAAACTATTATCACTCCTTAAACAGAAAGCTACAATTCCGGGTTTGCTGCTTTCTTCTTCTATCTTCCTCTGCCTCATTAACTCCATTGGCATGTTACCAATTTCAAAGAAGCAGGAAGAGGTGATAGGGGTGAGGGTTAAATAGTAATTCACATGCCTGTCTGCTTCCCATCCCGAGTGCAGAACGATACCACGCTGATTACCAGACCGTGGCTTGAGCCATACCTTGGTTTGGAGATAATGAGGATAGTAGTAAGTGTACTGGGGGTACATTTGTGGCTGATCCAGGCGTTTGCCCATGTAGCTGGAATCTTTATCTCCGAGGCAGGGAACTGGATGACAGGGTATAGTGCCCCAGGCCGAGAGCTTCCTCTTAAACCACTATTCCTGACAGTCCGATGACTGATGAGGCTTCGGAGACTCCACCACTTCACCACTTGCTAGTTCCAACACGGCAAGAATATCAAAACAAAACAAAACAAAACAAAAACACACACCAAAAAAAAAAAAAAATGGGGGGGGAGAGAAGCAGGGGGGGGAAAAAAAAAAAAAAAAAACCCCGGACAGCCTCTTCAGATCTCGCCTGGCTTCTCCCAGCTGCCGGGGTCCACTCGGGATGAGGCAGTTTGTTCTCTAAGCAGGCTGTCTGTAGTGATGTCAATTGCCAGCGTTTGTAAAAGGAAAAAAAAAAAATCAAAGTCCTTTTAGCACAACTCCGAATCCTTGCAGATCAGCTTCCTGTCTCCTGTTTGTCTCATTCCCCCACCTTAAAGAAAAAGGAAAAAAAAAGAGAGAGAGAGAAAGAAAGAAAAAAAAAGAAAGGAAAAAAAAAAAAAAAAAAAAAAAGGGAAAAAAAAAAAAAAAAAAAAAGAAAAGAAAACCTTGCACAGCTTAGTTGCTGCTGTCTCCCTCCCAGAGTGACATGGTGTTCGGGGCTTGTCCTGTCCTTTCATTCACTTCCCCTCCTTCCAGCCAGTGGGTGGAACCGAGAGAGCCTCTCCAGGGAGCAGCGTACGCAGTCCAGAAGGCTGCAGTATTTCCTCCAAGAAAAAAAAAAAAAAAAAAAAGGCTGCTTCAACCCCTGCTGCCAGCAAAGTTGCGATTCCCTCTGCTGGCTATCTGGAATAGCAGAGCAGTTTTTGCAGCTAAGCTGCCGCCACCGCTGGAACTGAACCTGGAGAACTCAAAAGCAGGCGGTGGATTATTTCTTATCCCTCCCTCCATCTACCCCACGCGAGAGAGCTGCCTTCTTTTCTGTTCTTGCCAAGTTCTGAGGTAAGCCACACCGCTGAACAAAACATAGAAGAGCACGGGATGGGAGGAGAGGATGAGGGAGGAAGGAGGAGAAAGGCAAAGCAAGACCAGTAATAATAATACGAAGGCAGAGGTCCTAACCTTGCTAGTTGAATGGAAATAAAGTGTGTTTGGGGTGATTTCGAAACCGGTTCACACACATGAAAGCCAGATAAATCCAGGACCTCGATGAGAAACTGACCTTTCACTTCCTGAAGACAAGGAGGATGCTACCTATGGAGGAAATTTTAGGGTCTACTCCAGGGCTGTTACTAACAAGCCACACATTGTACAAGTAGATGGATCAACTTATAATATCAGAAATAATCATTCTTATGTTTACATCCATTTAAAAAAAACACGAAAGGAAGTGATCTCCTAAGTTTATCAGCTTCTTTATAAATAAAATCAGCATTTCTCCCATTGCCTCTCGCTTTATGAATTTTCTTGATTCGTGGATGCTTTAATCACTTTACTGATATCATCACAAGGAAAAAAAAACCCACAAAAATCATAATTACTTGGCAGAGTTTTTTTTCCCCACCAATAATAATGTTCTGACATGTCTATCAGCTGCTACATTATAATACAAATTGTTTCGGAGAAAATATATTTCCTTAAAGGGTCCCTTTTCAAGGCGGTGGTGAGGCTAAAATTAGATGTGCCAGCTGTGTTTTGCTGGGAATGCTCACGCATGCCCAAAGCGTGGGCAGACCAATACTCTGCCTCTCCACTTTGTCAAGTTGGCTCTGTTCTCCTGAGTCCAGAATCGCCTTTTCAGATAAAAGGTTCCTGGTACAAATCCAGCTTCCTGGCCCAAAACACAGAATTGGGGCTCCATGCACACATGGTGTCCGTCCATGTACAAGCCCCATCACCCCTGAAGCAGCTGGCTTCCACTCAGGGAAACTGGTTTCTGGAAGCTGCATGAGAGCCTGTGTGTTCCTTGAAGAAAGATGAGGATGGTGGGTCATAATTGTGCTTTTCTTTTTTTTTTTTTTTTTTTTTGGTACCAGGGATATTGAACCCACAGGCATTGAGCCACGGATCCACATCTCCAGCCCATTTTTAATATTTTATCTAGAAACAGGGTCTCACTAAGTTGCTTAGGGCCTCACTATATTGCTGAGGCTGGCTTTGAATTCATGATCCTCCTGCATCAGCCTCCTGAGCCACTGGGATTACAGACATGTGCCACCTCACCCAGCCAATAATTTTGCTTTATTTTGTCAAGAATAATAATCCAAAGGAAAGAAGGAAGGAGAGTGAAAGGCAGACTTTAGGAACCCTGACAACACTGTCATTGAATCAGCTGTGCAATTTTTTTAATGTGTTATTCTGGACCTCACTTGTCTCACCTATAAAATGGAAATGCTATCAACTTTCTCAGCTAACAGTAATAAACTGATATTAAATACCACATTGATTTTAAAAATTCTCCTGTGGCATCATATTGCTCAGACCATGAAGTACTGACTCTTTGGGACTGTTTTCAAGACACCTGATGACCTGGCCCTTGCTTCCTGCTTCATCTCAAACCTTGAATTTGGCCTCACACATTCTGCACTGGAGTTGCCTGTAATCCCAGGGGCTCAGGAGGCTGATGCAGGAGGATCACAGGTTCAAAGCCAGCCTCAGCAATTTAGTGAGACCCTAAGCAACTTAGTGAGACCCTGACTTTAAATAAAATATTAGAAAAGGGCTGGAGATGTGGATTAGTGGTTAAGTGCCTGTGGGTTCAATCCCTGATACTGAAATCCTGTGGCCTTCCCTCTGCCTCTCCCCCGCCCCCTCAGTCCATCCTCCTGGTCTTAGCACGTGCACCCCTTCTTGGAGTAGTTTTCTCTACACCCTTGCTTTCCCCACATGCATTATAGTTGTCTTAACAAAATGCTTATTCTGACTGCTTGCTTCTTCCCTGATGTTATAAACTCTGGGACAGGCAGGTGTTACATCATTCTTGTTCATCATCCTATCTCCAAAAAACCAGCATGGAATCGGGCACAAAATGGATGTTCAGTAAATGTTTGAAAGGCACAATATTTTATACGTGATATATAATTTTAACGGAACTCATCTCTTCTTCAGTACATTTTGTTCTTTGCCACGGATCAGAAGCTGACATGGGTATAAAGAATATAGAGACACCTGGACCAGAACTAGGTCTTTCCTTCACAAGGTGTTTATTCTAGTGAGTGAACAAAGGAATAAGCAAACAAATATATAGTATGAGATCAGGAGATAGCCAATACTGTAAGAAAACACAAAGCAGAGAAAAGAGAAACAGTATCTCATGGATTCTACTTTTTAAAGTACAGTCAGAAAGATGATTTCCCTACAAGAGTCTTAAACTTAAAAGGAGGGTATGAACTGTTCCCTGAGTTTTGGGTGCTGTTGGTGTGTTCAGTACCTGCCTGGGCTCTAGTACTGCCTCTGCTGCATCCATCCACCTCCATTTCTTGATCCATCAAATGTCATTGTTCGTTCTACCGGGCTAGTATAAGAATCAGCCAAGATAATCACAGGAAGCATTTATTTATATACTTTTAACATGTTGGATCTGCTCAATATACGCTAGTCAGAGGGAAAAACCAATATAGAAAGGCTGCAAAGGAAATGTACCCTCGGAATGGGATAGGGATGGCATTGGGGCTAGAATGACGGGAATGAGCAGTGATGACCATAAAGTAAGGCTGGAGAGATGCCCCTGGGCCAGATCACACTGGTCTTGGTAGAATTTGGTATGGCAAGCAAAACTGCTGGCAGTTTGCATTAGAGTAAGGACTCCATCCAAATAGTCTGGATCCGGGCATGTTCAACTCCAGAATACTGTCATCCTAAATGACCTATTAAGGTCTTCCCAATCCCAACACCTGTAAGACCAGCATCCAGGACTGATTTTGCAAATCCTGGCACTATGGAAAAAGGATGTCCTTGTTCTTAATTAATAACTGTCCTAGATCTTCCCTGAAAAAGTAAAAAAAAAAAAAAACAACAACACTGTATTATTTACAAATAAAAGGCCAAGTAAATAACTCTTCAGCCAAAGCTGTAGCCCACTTATATGTAAAGTTCCCAGCAGGTATTGATGCTATCAACAATTTCTACACAAATTGCCACTTTGCAAAACCCTATTCTATTTCATTGGATTATTGTAATGGTCTGGCATCAATTGTCATTAGCTTAAGACAGTCATTGTGCATTTAAAGCGTTTCTTAAGTAATGCAAAATGGGTTTACACTTGTGAGAATTATAAAAGCTGTGTTCTTATTTATTTTTTATTTCTTTTCCCCTTAGAGACACTAGTAGCCATGGCAATCCAGGAGGCAAGATACTGATGTCAGAAATAGTTTTTATATCATTTCTGCTCTGTTGGAGCAGTAGCGCTTTCCATTTAAATGATCAAGTTAAGGTAGGAGGTAACTGGTTTAAGGCACTCTCTAAATCAGAAGCCAGCTGTGTCCCATTTGCCAACTCACCAACAAATTCCCTACAAATGCAAGAGCAGCAAAGGGCATCAAAGGGCCTGGACATTCACAGACTCAACATGATGCACAGATCGGGCCTCTTTGACTGACAGGGTCGAGATGATGCCTCAGACACACCATCAGTTGTTGGGAAGGGATGATACTGCAATAAAGGTCAGATAGGAAGAGACAGAGACACTCTTCTGGTTTGCCTTTTGTCTTACCCACAGAAAGGAGAGCTGAGTTTTCTTTGTGGGTATTTATTTATTTACAAAGCAAAATAAATGAACAGCAAATGAGCAGGAAAATACTCTAATTCTACTACTGCATCTTGGAAAGCAAGTATACTAGTCTATCACTAAAATATTCATGACCTTGAATATATTTTCTTTTAATCTTGGCATTTCCCCCCTTCTTTATTCAAACGGGAGAAATCCCTTTTTAACACAGCTGCTGGTAGAGGGATGGTAAACATCAAGGTTGCTCAAAAAAACAAACAAACAACAACAACAAAAAAGACAAGATGGTTGATTGCAAAATCCAACTTAAAATAGTATTAGAACTTTCTTTCTCCTACTGAACATTTAACAATGATTTAGGGAAATACGCTAGACAAATAAGGAGAAATAGACAACTACTGATTTAAGCATACCTGTTCCAAACTGAAGCTATAATTGAACATAAAAATATTGATATAAACACAATAAAATTAGCCTTGGAAGATAATTTTAAGTAACACGAAAAAATTATAACTGATGATAGTT